ATTGGTACATATGGTAAATATGATTAAAGAAGGCTGTGAAAATAAATCCGCATTGTTTATCCACTTGATCTTTTATTCAAAAATAAAAATTCTAAGTGGGGGAAAATCACATTATGAAATAAATATTTTGCTCTAATACAGTAAGAGGACATGTGTCTATATGGTCCTAATGCACGGTGAGGAGGAGAGTTTGAGTGGCCAAAGACTCCAAGGATCACAGCTGGAGAACTGCAGAAAATAGTTGAGTCTTGGGGTCAGAAAGCCACAAAAAAAATATGTTGTTTAGGAGGGTTTCAAGAAAAAACTAGAAAAGAAAACGCTCTCATCCAAAAACAAACTCCAGCATATTTATTTGCTAGACACGACTGGAACTTTAAACGGGACTGGGTTCAATGGTCAGATGAAACTAAAAAAATTAGCAAACACTCTAGATGCGTTTGGCACACACAGTGATAAAAAGTACCCCATGTGTACAATGAAATATACTGCTGGATCTTTAATGTTGTGGGCCTATTTTTCTGCCGGAGATCCTGGATATCTTGTTCAGATAGATGGCATAATGGATTCTATAAAATACCAATGGATAAAACATTTAAAACTGACTGTCCATGCTAGAAATCTTATAATGGGCCATGGTTGGATCCACAAACAAACATCAAAATCAAAACAAAAATGGGTCACTGAGCAAAAAAACCAAGCTTCTGCCATGGCCAACCCAGTCCCCTGAGCTGAACCCTATGAGTGTGGTGAACTGAAGAGGAGAAGCATCAACATGCAGCTGGGAATCTGAGGGGGCTGGAGAGATTCTGGATGAAGGAATGGTCTCTGATCTCCTATCTCTAAACTCTTCAAGTATTATAGGTGAAGACTCAGAGCTGTTCTCTTGGCAAAAGGAGGTTGCAAAAAGTATTGGATAAAAGGGTATGATTAATTGTGACCAATGTGTATTAAAGAAAAACATTTATTTCCAAATGAGATTTCTCTCCCATTTTAAATTCTTATTCTCCAATGAAAGGTTAGATTTATGTCCATTTTTAAAATAAAATATCTAAAGGACTGATGATACAGATTAATTTTCACAGCCTTCTTTGATCATATTTACCTTTTAATTTTGAGCACAACTGTATCCAAGCTGTTTGGTTTTACTAGTTGCACAGAAATAAAAAATATTGACAGTGAATATACATGTTTCTAGTTATGCTCAGCTATAAGAAACCGCTTGTGCTCAGTGCAATCTGTTTAATATTTTCAAATTAAACAACTGAATGACTGGGAAAAGGCGTGGGAACCCATATAACGCAATATCAATTTTTTTCCCCCCCAAAAGTACGACGTAAAATAAAGCGCTTGTAGTGATATCAGCTGACCGAAGGTTGAGCCGCAAATATGAAAGGAGTATGTTCTCAAATCTGCACATTGCATAAAATTTCAAAAGATTTCCCCCCTGTGTGGCCACACAGGATACGAGACAAAGAAAGGAGGAACATATTTAAGAACGGGAGTCAGCTGAGGAGTTGAAAAGGGGAGAGAAAGAAATAGAGAGTGCAAATAAGCAGCAATAAGTACAGAGGAATTGTGTGTTGATGGACTGTGGGATTTGATTGAAGGAAAGGGATCTTTACTGCCAGAGGTCCTCAGTTCGGCCAAACTTGAACACCAGACCACTGCAAAAGAGAAGGAGAATCAAAATTAGAACTTAATCAAAATATCATAGTTTCACTTGAAAAAAACAATTATTTTACACGAATTACATGAATACTCAATCTCAGACTACTAATGCAGTTAATTAGAGACTGGGCAATAGTGGTATATCCATGACTCATTCAAAATTAATTTTATTAAGCTTTCTGAAAAGTATTTAGATGATTATTCAATGTCTCGTCAGTGGAAGTGGTTTGATAGCATCAGTAGCAAGAATAAAGCAAAAAATATAAGCAAAACGTCAGCAAATGTACAATGAACTTAAAGCTCCAAAAGCTACAAAATATACGACCAGGCTTCCCACAGTCAAGAAAAACTCGCCATTTGGTTTTAATAGTCGCACAGAAATGAAAAATATTGACAGTGAATATACATGTTTCTAGTTATGCTCAGCTAAGAAACTGCTTGTGCTCGGTGCAATCTGTGTAAAATAATTTTACACGGACAAAAATAGTCTCTTTTTCATTTGTCCATTCATTTCAATTTGAATTACTTCTTTTTGAACAAATTGTTCATTTTGGATTTTTAAAGAAACAAGAATTTTGTCTAGCAAGGGCACATTAAATTGATTAAAGGTGACAGCAAAGACATTTATAATGTTGCAAATAAATATTTCAAATAAAGTCTGTTCTTTTGAACTTTAGGCAAAGAAAAAAAAAGTATTACAGTTTAACAAAACTATGAAGCAGCTCAACTGTTTTCAACATTGATAATAATCAGAAATGTTTCTTGAGCAGCATATTAGAATGATTTCTGAAGGATCATGTGACACTGAAGACAGGACTAATGATGCTGAAAATTCAGCTTTGCATCACAGGAATAAATTACATTTTAGAATAAGTAGAAAACACTTTTTATTTGTAATAATAATAATTCACAATATTACTGTATTTACAAACTTACCCAAAGAAGATGAAAGCATTTTGGAAGAAAACCGCAATACCAGGATACACTGACAACTCCTTATGATCTGTTCAATCACAAAGAAAAAAAAATGGAAAAGTATAATCAGCAACTGTAAACAAACAGAAAACTGAATCATCTTATTCTATGAGGGCAAAATCAGTCTTATTGTCTCACCAGTCACAACAAAACCACCAAACAGAATCCACATAGAGGCGATGAGAGACCCGAACGCCAACATGAACCCGATGAAGAGCCAAATTCTGGCACCTACACACATTCAAAGCACATTTCGGTCACGTAGTATTTCAATATCTACAAGAAATGCATAAAGTTGCGTATGCAGGACGTACCTGTCTGTCCCAAGCAGCCCTCGCTGTAGCTGTCGCCCCTCACCTGGCCGTTTGACACCGCATTGATCCTGCATTCAAATCAGTCTTATTTTAGTCATTAACTTAAGCAAAAACAAACCATTTCAATCCAAGTAACTTTTAGGAGTGTTCTTTTTCTTTTGAGCTCATGAAACTGACTCATTCTACGTCATCTGAATAGTTTCATTGTTTTGAGCTTAATGAACTTGTTTCTTTTAAATCAGATGTACTTCGATTTAACTGAACCTGGCTGCAATTTCTATTTCCCAGCATGCTTTGCCATGGCACTCGAAAGGTAGAGTAAATACTAAAGTGTTACATACTGTTTTTTGCTAGATTCATGTAAAGTAATTGGGAGGATTAGTATTGTTTTGCTAGGCTAATTTAGAAGAGTTTTGTTGGGTTTCTCATTGTGACGAGTGGAGCATGGTTTCAGAACAGAAATATGTTAAATGTTTCATACCGCCTTACTCATTCAGCAATTACTATGCTTATCTAAGCATTGTGTTGTCAATTAGCAAGTTAGCATTTACTGAATTAGCTAGTTAAGTTTCCAATACTGAAAAAAACTTTTTTAATTGAGATTACATGATAATTTTAAATTTGCTTACTCAAATATTTCAAATTAGGAGCAATTCATATAAAATTAAATTGGCCTGTTCTGCTAGCTTAAACTTTGAATTTCCTAACTTAAACATTTTGATGTAAATTAAGTAAAGAAATTCGAAACGTAGTTAAGAAATTAAGACATTTTTAAACTTACATTTTTTTTTTAGTTTTGCAAACTTATTCAGCTCTACAGTGTAGTTTTTATTGATAGTTTAAAGTTGTTTTAGATTCTTTTTTCATTTTTGAGTTAACTTTTACAAAAACACAAAAAATTGCAACTCTTATTATTTTATGCACCAAGAGCTTGTAACACTCCAAAGAGAAAGGAAAACTTGAAATCGCATCATATGACCCCTTTAAATGTCTATAGTTTTTATTAATTTTTAGTTATTTTAGTACATCAAATTAAACTAAATGATAAATGTAGCTGAAATCATTAAAAAAAATATTTTGTAATAAGTTAGTTACACTATAATAACCCTGATTCAAATCCATAGATAGTGAAACTCCACAGGCGGTTTATCAATGCAGTTATTGTATAGTAGTCACAGCGCAACCCTGTAGTTAAATCAGTGCTTAACAACAGGAAGTAAGATCTGGGACAGATCAAATGATGTCACAGCGTTGGTCTGGCCGGACACAATGAGAACAAATCTGTCTGTCTGTCTGTCTGTCTATCTCTCTCTGTCTGTCTGTCTATCTATCTCTGTCTGTCTGTCTGTCTCTATCTATCTATCTATATCTGTCTGTCTATCCATCTATATCTGTCTGTCTATCCATCTATATCTGGCTGTCTATCCATCTATATCTGTCTGTCTATCCATCTATGTCTGTCTATCTATCTATATCTGTCTATCTATCTATATCTGTCTGTCTATCTATCTATATCTGTCTGTCTATCTATATCTGTCTGTCTATCTATATCTGTCTGTCTATATCTGTCTGTCTATCTATCTATATCTATCTATCTGTCTGTCTATCTGTCTGTCTATCTATCTGTCTGTCTGTCTATCTATCTATATCTGTCTGTCTATCTATCTATATCTGTCTGTCTGTCTATCTCTGTCTATCTATCTACTATCTGTCTGTCTATCTACTATCTGTCTGTCTATCTATATCTGTCTGTCTATCTATCTATATCTGTCTGTCTATCTCTGTCTATCTATCTACTATCTGTCTGTCTATCTATATATGTCTATCTATCTACTATCTTTCTATATCTGTCTGTCTATCTATCTATATATGTCTGTCTATCTATCTACTATCTTTCTATATCTGTCTGTCTATCTATCTACTATCTTTCTATATCTGTCTGTCTATCTATATATGTCTATCTACTATCTTTCTATATCTGTCTGTCTATCTATCTATCGGTCTATCTATCAACGCATTAAATTGATCCAAAGTGTCAGTAAAGTCACTTATAATGTTACAGAATATTTCTATTTCGAATAAATGCTGTTCTTTTTAATTTTTGTCATTGAAGAATCTTGAAAAAGTGACGGGGGGGAATTAGTGTTCGTCAACTCATGTTAGTTTTTATTTAGAGGCTAATAAATGCAACAGTTCCTGCGCAGGAGCGGCGCATCCTCACTGCCTGCGCACACGCAGCGCACACATGATCGTCCTGAACCAAACACAAATAACACACAAAGGATTTCCTCCTGTCATGTTTGCGACCAATATCTGAATACTAACATAAGCGATCTTTAACATAATAGTTCAAAACTACGTTTCCGCGCAATATCGGGCGAAAACGTCGAGTGTTAATGCTGTAAACATGTTGGATCTCATATCCGGCTGATTTCTAACCCAATTTTCCTTTCTATGAAGCATGACGGATAAATAAAAGCACACGTAACGGTGAATATCTACTGAATGATTGCTAGGACTCGATCTTTATAGCACAGTGAACTCTTACCTGCACTTCTCTTGAGTTTGTCTTGTGGTTCGCAGTATGTGGAGATACACTCCGCAGTCTTCCGTCTCAAACAGTGCAGTGCGTCGCACATGCGCAGTGCGCTCTGCATCAGTCTCCATTGGCGGAGCACATCCCATCAACCAAAATGTGCACTTATTAAAGGTTTAACACACAAATCAATTAACAGCACGTCTGATAAAATACGGGGAATTCTGAGAAAAATTCTGAAATACGTTTTTAGAAAAATCTGTTTTATTCTACATGGACGCCTAGCTTTGTTGGCATCAAGTGATCAAATTACTAGTTGCGACAGGAATTACTGTTACTGAGGTGGTTTACACAGCATAAACATAAACGTACATCTAAAAAAGAAAGCAAACCACAAATATATAACAGTAGACCTTGATATCCCTGGCGAAAATTAACCATGCTTTTTACTACAAATGAAACCAAACTATAGTTACTATAGTTAAGCCATGGTAACTACAAATGAACCATCGGTTTGCTACACTAGCCATAGTTTAACCATGGTATTTGTAGTAAAACTGTGGTTATACAAATGGTAGTCAATACACCAAAAACAACTTTTACTATAATAAAACCATGGTTAATTTTAGTAAGGGATGTCCCAATCTAGCTCATAGGCACACATATTTTGCAATGTCTTGAGACGATGTTAAGATAACATAAACGCTTCTGTGCAGGCTACTGTGTTTTATTATTCCTAAAAAGAAATCATTTTCAAACCTGGAAAAACCGAACTCCTAAAACTGCTAAGTCTTAAAAAGACTATAAAAGACAAAGTAAATGCTTCATAATAGTTTCAGTTGAATATTGGTGTTTGCTTTACTAGTGTTCATACTTAGTGTTTTGATGAAACCCCTAAATATTAAACTTGGCAACATAGCTTGTACCACACTGCTTTATGAATGAAATCCTAATGCTTTTCTATTCTACCAGACTTTCTCAGATGTTCATCGAAAACAAAAAAAGCTTCCAAAATTGTCATTTAAACTCAGAAATGAAAATGTTGTCATTATATACTCCGTTGCTGGTAGCCATTGACTTCCATTGTATATTTTTCCATACTATGGAAGTCAACGGCTACCAGCAAATATTTGGTTACCTACATTCTTCAAAAAAACGTATTTTGTGTTCATCACAAGAAAGGACTCAATACAGGTTTGGAATTACATGAAGGTGGGTAATGAAGACCGAATTTTAATTTTTGGGTAAACTATCTCATTAAGGAAAGAGCCATATGGAAAGATAAGAATTTTAGTGTAACCACCCACAACACCAAAGCATCATAGTAACGCCCTATCGTCTGTTTATAAATGATTTAACACTCCAGTTGTCCTAAAGCCCTGCCATATGCCATTTTAAATATTATCTGAGAGATCAGAATCATATAATTACAGTAATTTTCACAAACACAAGACCTTTAATCTCCTTTAAAGGCAGGACAGTGTTTTCAGAAATGACTAAAATGAGTATAAAGTATGCGGGACTACAATATTTTCTTGCCATTTGAAGCACTCAGCACTCACACGTGGTTTGATTGAATCTTACACAGACATTTTATTATTCATTTGTCTGAATTGAATGAAACAACATAGGGTGACTATACATCCTAATCAAATCAGCACAGTATCTGAAATGTTGCACCCGAAGTGCTCTGTACAGAAGATGGTCCTCAAACAGAAACGTCACTAGCTGGACTGAAACCCAGGTCATCTGAACATAAACACTAGCATGCAATGATTATCTGGTCACCCTAAATGAAATGCAAGGAAAGCTGTGTAAAGAATGTGTATAAAAGCCTAACAAGTCGATTACATTTGATGAAATATTTCACGCTATATAAAAGCTTCAGGATGGAGCGATGTAATAAAAAAAAAAGAGAGTGAAAAAAGAATCACTGACGACTACATTAAGTGCCAAGTATTGGTTTTATGTGGTATTTTCCCAGTAGTGTTTCCCTTAAAGCACTCCAAGCAGTTTGAGAGCAATAGAGATGGAAAGCAGAATGACTCCAAACAGCCCGATATATCCATATGCACCACGCATCCTCTTAGCAGGATCTAAAACAGACAAACAACTTAAACAGGTTAACAGTATCTTGAAAATGTGTATGGCAATTAAAAAAAAAAAGCATAAATATATAATCCACAAACACACGTGTGACATTTAAATCTATAATTAAATGCAAAATAAATGCAATCCTTTTTGCATTTGCACTCTGATTCAGAAACAGATGTGAATGTGCTTTTGCAGTCTAAAAATTGCTACAGGTTTCTCCATGTGCATTTTTAAGACTTACCACCAGTGGAGTAACCCCAAGCATAAGAGAACCTGCTCGTAACCCAGATGACTCCTAACACAGAGGCAGCAATCTGATATGAGAGATAAAAAATGCAAGATAAACAAAGGTGAACTGGGTGAAAGGGTGTACATATGAGAGAAGGAGAGCACATGAAAAGAGAATGAATTCACATATTTAACGAGATTTATAGAACACGCATTACAAGGAAATGTCCCTCTGCTAAATGATCAATTTGATCAAAGGAATAATGATTTAATGAACTGTTGTAAGGTTTATACAAACAACATTACTGTTACTAGCCCAACACTTTAGTCTGATAAATGCTTGTGTGTCACATTTCTAAATATATTAGAAACTTCTAGTTGTCACTAAATATGATGGAAGATGGTACAAGGTACAGCAATGCACTCGGGGGGTTATATAAGGAGGGGTTGAGCTGGGCAGAACTGGCTCCATTTCAATTCATAAGCTGGAATTGCCTACGTCCACATTAAACTGGAATTCGAATTGGAACAGCAGGAAGAAGAATTTGCTGAATTGCAATTAAAAAACATTTGATAAACTCGCAAACACAAATCTTTCGACAAAACATGATTCGTTTACACCAACTCTTGACAAAATTGCTGACCACAATGTTTGCGATAACATCAATATTTTGGGTAGGGCTGCACGAATATGACAAAAAAATTGTCGGTTATTGCCTTGAAATTGCGATTATTAATTACGATTATCACAATTTACATTGAATGATGTTTATACCATTGTTTGATATAACTGCATGCCGTATTTTTATATATAAAAAATAACAAAAATCTGAAAACACTAACTGAAAAACTTTTAGTGCTTCTCTACACTATTAAGCCTCAAATGTAAAAGCTTCAGGATGGAGCGATGTAATAAAAAAAAAAGAGAGTGAAAAAAGAATCACTGACGACTACATTAAGTGCCAAGTATTGGTTTTATGTGGTATTTTCCCAGTAGTGTTTCCCTTAAAGCACTCCAAGCAGTTTGAGAGCAATAGAGATGGAAAGCAGAATGACTCCAAACAGCCCGATATATCCATATGCACCACGCATCCTCTTAGCAGGATCTAAAACAGACAAACAACTTAAACAAGTTAACAGTATCTTGAAAATGTGTATGGCAATTAAAAAAAAAAGCATAAATATATAATCCACAAACACACGTGTGACATTTAAATCTATAATTAAATGCAAAATAAATGCAATCCTTTTTGCATTTGCACTCTGATTCAGAAACAGATGTGAATGTGCTTTTGCAGTCTAAAAATTGCTACAGGTTTCTCCATGTGCATTTTTAAGACTTACCACCAGTGGAGTAACCCCAAGCATAAGAGAACCTGCTCGTAACCCAGATGACTCCTAACACAGAGGCAGCAATCTGATATGAGAGATAAAAAATGCAAGATAAACAAAGGTGAACTGGGTGAAAGGGTGTACATATGAGAGAAGGAGAGCACATGAAAAGAGAATGAATTCACATATTTAACGAGATTTATAGAACACGCATTACAAGGAAATGTCCCTCTGCTAAATGATCAATTTGATCAAAGGAATAATGATTTAATGAACTGTTGTAAGGTTTATACAAACAACATTACTGTTACTAGCCCAACACTTTAGTCTGATAAATGCTTGTGTGTCACATTTCTAAATATATTAGAAACTTCTAGTTGTCACTAAATATGATGGAAGATGGTACAAGGTACAGCAATGCACTCGGGGGGTTATATAAGGAGGGGTTGAGCTGGGCAGAACTGGCTCCATTTCAATTCATAAGCTGGAATTGCCTACGTCCACATTAAACTGGAATTCGAATTGGAACAGCAGGAAGAAGAATTTGCTGAATTGCAATTAAAAAACATTTGATAAACTCGCAAACACAAATCTTTCGACAAAACATGATTCGTTTACACCAACTCTTGACAAAATTGCTGACCACAATGTTTGCGATAACATCAATATTTTGGGTAGGGCTGCACGAATATGACAAAAAAATTGTCGGTTATTGCCTTGAAATTGCGATTATTAATTACGATTATCACAATTTACATTGAATGATGTTTATACCATTGTTTGATATAACTGCATGCCGTATTTTTATATATAAAAAATAACAAAAATCTGAAAACACTAACTGAAAAACTTTTAGTGCTTCTCTACACTATTAAGCCTCAAATGTCAACTATACATCGGACTGGTTTCTTCTTTAAATTATAAAAAAAGTTAAAAAATCTAAATGGCATTATAGTGTTATACTAAAACTAAAATTAAAACAATGGAAAAACCCTTAAGATAACATGCAGAAGGAAAAAAAAAAGCATCTTTAGCACACAGAATATCATAAGTGGACTTTGAACGATTAATTGCCGGGTGAAAAATTCATTTTGTAATTGCACACAACTGTGACACTCACAGGATACTCTAATGCAGCAATAGTCTGGAACACCAGCCACTGTGGATACACCTCCAGTGTGTTCTGATGGGCTCTCTGGATACAGTTGAACACTTGCTCCTTATCACTGTACATGGTGGGATACTGTACACACAAAACACGAGAGCAGAAAAATACATTCAACTAAAGCTTCTGCATTGGTTCCAAATCAGAAATCAAAGTTTAATATGCATGGGTATAATTTCAGGCAATGCAACAACATGCATTGCATATGAAGCCTTGTATCGTACCTTTACTCCATACTTCTTCCGTGCACTACCAACTTGGACCCCGAGATACATCAACATGACAAAACTGTACAAATAAGTAAAAATTGCATAGCCAAAATTGGCTGGAAGCAGGTTTTCGATCGACATTTTTTTCAGATGGAAAGTTCAGGATCTGTTTTCTGACTCGAGCACGAACTGTTCTTCTTTTCTTTGAAGGAAAGAAATGCACAATCACCTAGCGTCACTGCGTTGTTTGTGTTAAAGGCGATTCCCTCACTCCCCCAGACACAGATAAAACCTCGCGATATAACGCGATCTCTCGAGAGACTGTTTCACAACCCGATGATACAACTATGTATAAACAATATGTAAACATGAAGTCAATATATGACAGTATTTTCAGTTATTAACTTCCTCAAGTCTTCAACATGTAAAACCAGTTCAATTAAGCTTTATTAGCATGACTGTGTAACACAAAGCATTAACATATATATATAACAACAACAACATAAATAATAATAAATACAATCCATCTATATAAATGAAAAGATAAAGTAAGTCAGTATCGAGTTAATCATGTATAACACCTAACACTGTGAATGGTTAACACATATTTAGCAGCTAGTGCAGCTGTGTTGTCATCTTCTCCAAAGGGCATTTTCTCAGTATAACCAAGTTCAGTGAATGATGGGATCAGGGCTTCAAATCTGGGGAGAAACGTTCCCCTCACGGTGTGATACTTAGGACAGTTCAGCAGAAAGTGTTTCTCGGTCTCTATTAGCTGTAGATCACAGTGTCTACAGATCCTCTGCTCTTGCTCTGTCCATGTTTGTCTATGTCTTCCTCTCTCTAGTTCTAAATCATGGTTACTTCATCTGTATTTGGAGAGGATCTGTCTATCTTTCAATGGTTTAATCAATAAATAATTGGCCAATTGAGTGGTTCTGCTTAGGGTTGAGTAGCATTGAGAATTTGTTTAATGATTGCGTGATATAATTTAATCCATGTTTTAATTGGACATTTTAATTGGCCAAACCGTGATTTTATGGCATAAAAAGCCCTCCGGGCCTCCTCATTCAAGGCCTTCACAGCCAGACTGAAGCCCAGGTAAGTGCAGCTGCTGCTGTGTTAGGACTTCTCCTCTGTAACTGAACCGGTATCTGCTCCTCTGAGCTTCTTCTATGCAAAACCATAGATGTCGATTTTTATTATTGTTTTTTTATTCAAAACAACTTAGTTAATATAAAATAACGCGGTTATAAAAATATCATAGTTTAAATAAAAAAAACACAAATAAAAAAAGTCTATCAAACACTGTTTGTTCAGCGCTGGTGAATTTTCTAGACCCCTCCCCCCGGGTGACGTCATTGGGTTTCGGTTAAATGCAAGCTGCACGCGAGCCACTTCACGCTGAATCATCCAACCAACCTCTCGCGAGAAGACGACGGCGCTTGCTGTAACGTTAGATAGGCGCAAGAAACACGTTTTGTTTCAAGAATTTGTCCTCAATTTAGGAATCATTTATTTCTTCTGGAATTTATTTTGGAATAAACGTAAATTTATTTGACAGTTGTTGAATTTCAAATAGTTTCTGTTTTGAACTCGCTCGAGGAGAGCGTTTTCCTCAAAGTCGGTTATCTTACTGTTGGCTCAAGTCCTTTTTGACGGTAAGTTACACTTAAATGCTGTTTATAGCTACTATTTATATATTTAACGTTGTTATATAAGTTATGTTACTTACAATCTTCGCTGAATTAGCAACATAATACTAACGGTAATTAACGATACTAACAGTAAATACCGGAAGGCGAACAATATATCAGAATAGATTTATTACTATCTGGATGGTGACATTAGGATTTTGTTTAGTGATGTTATGATAACGTTGGTTATTTATTAGTGTTTCTTGCGGAATGTTCTAGATCCGAGTCTGTTGTGAATTTGATTGACAGGAGGGGCGGGGCTTTGTTACGCAACGTCACCTGACCTGCTTTTAGTTCCAGCACGTTCTCCTTTATTACTGACCTCTGTAGTGTTGCTGTCGTAATGTTTCATTAGAAAATATGGCTCATGTTATTATTTTTAAAAAACGAAGTAAATCTTCAACCAATAAATGAATGTCCCTATTTTTAAACATAAAACAACTTTCGCAAATATAAGTTTAACAAATATATCTGTGTATTCATCATCACAGTACGTTGAGGCAATTGTTTTGTAATACAAGTTCTCTGAAATGTTGATTAAATACACAAATATTGATATGAAAATTTACAAAGTTGAATACATTTCCAAAACAGAAATCTGAACTTTGGCTAGAGCCAGTATCAAAAATCTGACACGAAAAAACGAAGTAAATCTTCAACCAATAAATGAATGTCCCTATTTTTAAACATAAAACAACTTTCGCAAATATAAGTTTAACAAATATATCTCTGTGTATTCATCATCACAGTACGTTGAGGCAATTGTTTTGTAATACAAGTTCTCTGAAATGTTGATTTAAATACACAAATATTGATATGAAAATTTACAAAGTTGAATACATTTCCAAAACAGAAATCTGAACTTTGGCTAGAGCCAGTATCAACAATCTGACACGTAGGAGGAGGCCAGCCCTGGGCGTCTCGGTGAGGGTGTGAAGCTCATCTTTGATCAGAAGGCTCCACACGGTCGCAGGTCCTCTCGCTCCAGCAGCAGCAGTGACAGCTCGTTCTCCAGCAGCAAGGGGGGCCGCTCCTCCCGCAGGTCACGGAGCTCATCCTCCGACAGTGGCTCTTCCTCACACTCTCGCTCCCATCCACGCTGCTCAGGCCGCTCACGCTGCCGTCACAGGCGCCATTCTCCTCCTCGCCACTACCGGGCTCACTCCCGCTCTTACAGCCCTTCTCCTGAGCGTTCCTCCCACCGCAGGCGCTACCATCGCCGCAGGCGCTCTCCATCCCTCTACAGCTACTCCAGACGTTCTCTGTCCCGATCCCGCTCTCGCAGTCGCTCCCCGGTCTACTGGAGGGGAAGCAGGTTTGTGGGGAGGTACCGGTGCCGTTTCTCCCGCTCACCCAGGAGTTCCAGAGATTACAGAAGCCGGTCTCGCAGCCAAAAATGTTATACATACATAAACAAAACCCTGGCCTCTGTTAAGACCTGCTGAATGTAGATATTAAATAATCACATTTCTTGATTGATTAAACTGTTAGTTCACAAGTAACGTCTGATGCTTTGTGTTTGTAGGTTTGATCATGAAGGAGGAGGCCAGCCCTGGGCGTCTCGGTGAGGGTGTGAAGCTCATCTTTGATCAGAAGGCTCCACACGGTCGCAGGTCCTCTCGCTCCAGCAGCAGCAGTGACAGCTCGTTCTCCAGCAGCAAGGGGGGCCGCTCCTCCCGCAGGTCACGGAGCTCATCCTCCGAAAGTGGCTCTTCCTCACACTCTCACTCACGCTCCCGCTCCCATCCACGCTGCTCAGGCCGCTCACGCTGCCGTCACAGGCGCCATTCTCCTCCTCGCCACTACCGGGCTCGCTCCCGCTCTTACAGCCCTTCTTCTGAGCTTTCCTCCCACCGCAGGCGCTACCATCGCCGCAGGCGCTCTCCATCCCTCTACAGCTACTCCAGGCGTTCTCTGTCCCGATCCCGCTCTCGCAGTCGCTCCCCGGTCTACTGGAGGGGAAGCAGGTTTGTGGGGAGGTACCGGTGCCGTTTCTCCCGCTCACCCAGGAGTTCCAGAGATTACAGAAACCGGTCTCGCAGCCATGAACGCTCTGCGGTCTGCCTCAGCCTTGAGGGTAAGATCAGTTTCACTTTAATATATATGCTACATGAAAGACAAAAGGAGATACAAAAAAAATAAAAACTTTAGTTCTTTTTTTTTCACACAAATCAGTTCATGGTGACCACAGCTGTTCATAACCTAAAGTTCAGTCTGTTCCTCACATCTCAAGATATCATTTAGCTTTAGAAGATTTTTAATACACTGCATGAGTAGTACGGATGACTTTTGATGCTTTATTTCTGTCGTCTTTGCACTTCTTGTGTTCTATGCAGAAAATCACAGCAATACATTTTTTTTTATTCCTCACTAGGTTTTATGATTGTAAGTTACAAAAAAATCCTCTTCTTTCTCAGTAGATTTTTATGTTTGTAAGTAAAAAAAATAAATAGTTATTTGCATAAGAATATTTGATAAATTACAAAAAAAGTGAAAGTTTAAAAGAATGTAAAAATATTATTACAAATAGATTTATTTAAAATATTTAAAGTGTATATAAAACTTAAATTATAACAATATATTAATCATATCTTAATTTAAGTAATACATAATTATGTCTTTATATATTCAATTATATATTTATATTAACATGTTTTCTAATAATAAGATGCATATCGTAATACTTCTGAATACTTTCTAAATGTTTTAAATACTTTTTTTATTGTTATTATTAAAAAGTATTTGAAACTTTAAATAGTCTTAATATCTTATGCAATTTTCCTTCTAAAGTAAATGTAAGCAAGTAAATATACTGACAAAAATGCAGAATAATAAAATATTTTTTTTTTATTTTTTTTGCAGTTAGTCAGTTGTTGGGTGACTAGTTGATAATGCTGACTATGGAGATAAATGACAGAATTTAAATCTAAACTTTGAAATCTTCCACAGAGAAGAAGTGTTTGTTAAATGTGGCCAAAGCAAATGCTGCCAGGATTCTGGGAGTGCAGAACTTAGAGCTGCCAGCTAGCCTGAAGGAGCTGGAGGAGGAGGAGGAGGAGGAGGAGGAGAAGAAGAAGAAGAGGAGGAGGAGGAGATCTTCATCAGATAATGAGGAAAGGGTGAGCGCAGACCGGGCACCACAGAAGACACCAGCACAGGTGAGCCTCACACACATGCATACAGACGTTCCACTAACACACACCCAGTGTTTATTTGACTTCTGTAATATTGCACGAACGTCCTGAGTGTTTGACAATTATATCTGTGATCTCGGGACGTTGACTAACCCGTTGAAACACGTCTATTTAAAATGTGATTGCGCGCTGTACTTGCCCAACCTGGGTCACCATGTAATCTGTCTCCTCAGACGTGAATGATTTTACCAGATGGATTTAATGGAATGATGAACAGCACTTGTCCGGATTAGGTAATGGTACATGTTAAAGAGTATGTACTACTGTGTAGTGTGTGTGTGTGTGAGAATGAATGAGCACGTGGCTATTATTCCTCTCACTGTATTGAGGAGTGGCATTTAGCTTCAATTGCTTTGTTTGTTTGTTTTTTTGTATCATTTCTTTTCCTGTAGAGCTGAAACTCCTCCACCCTTTGGACAAAGAGGGAGAGAGGGGGAGGTCACATGACTTGAATGACACCAGCTTTAAGTCTTATGTGCACAACTGCAAAGGTTAAGTAATTGTGTACAATGTCAGCGGTAGCTTTGTGTCAAACAAAAACAGACCACATGCATTTGTGTGATGCACTCAACACTTTCAGCCACCACACAACAGCACACATGCAGAAAAGTTTGGGGTCAGTAGAATTTCAGGGTTTTTTTTTATTTTAAGAAACCAATACGTTAAGCAAGGATGCATTGAATTGATCAAGAGTGACATTAAAGACATTTAAAATGTTGAAAATAAATGCTGTTCTTCTGAACTATTTAAATAATCCTGAAAAAAATGTATCATGGTTTCCACAAAAATATTAAGCAGCACAACGGTTTTCAAAACTGTTAAGAAATGTTTCTTGAGCAGCAAATCGGCATACTAGAATGATTTCTGAAGGATCCTGTGACACTGAAGACTGGAGGAATGATGCTGGAAATTCAGCCTTGCATCACAGGAATAAATTAAAATGTAAAATATTTAACTAGAAATACTGTTTTTTACTGTTACAGCCTTAGTGAGTTAGTCAGTATATGACACTTTTCAAAACAATTTTTCAAAAAAAATCATACGGACCCCAAACTTTTGAACGGTAGTGTCTCTTTACAGCTGTTAGAACTACAGGAAATGACTTCTGTTTGCTGATGGTTGAACTGGGTTGCGTTGTCATTTACCAGAGTCTTCCTCTATTCATCGTGTGTGAAGACCAGAGAGAGCTCGCTCTACGGTGACGGATGGGGTTTGGAAAAATATAGTCTCATCAATTAGTAATTTTTTTTTGTTTGTCTGCTGTTTTGGGGCTTTGTTCATACAAGCAGCAAAAAGCCTTTTTTAATTTATTTTTATTTTTGCATTTAATTATTTTGGGCCATTTCAGAGCTGTTTAGCATGGAAGCCTGTTTCCGCCACAGAATTAAAAGTTAATAAAAGGTAATTTTGACATTTTCACAATTGTTTAAACCAGACAATTCAGACTTTTCTTCAAAATTACAAGATGCAAACATGCAAAATTTATATAATGCAAAATCACATTAATTTGAAATCTAATTAAAATGTAATTTTTAGGCACTGCATTTCAGTTTTCTTCTTTTTTTTTTTCTCATTTGGATTCCTTCATATAAAGTGTGAACTATTTCAGACACTGCATATGCATGAATTTGTAAATAGCGACACCTCAGGAGTTGTTTAAAATGACTGGACATTTGAAAAACAAATTGGAAATATGTAGAGTGAACAAAGCCTTTGTATATACATTTTCATTTTTGCTTGTAAAAGAACTGCTTTTTGTACTATCAATAGTAAATGGGTATAACCCAAATGGTGTTTTTGATGTCAGACTGATTCAAAGAGCAGCACTGGCATTACACAGGTCAGAGTCCCTTCAATTTGTCTCTTTTGCATGACTTAAACACCGAACTGAGGGCGTCCTCACTTAGAAATGAAAATCATGTGGTACTGAAGTTTCTAGGTTTACATCAAACAGACAGTAATTTCATTATCCTATTCCCCTTTTTTCTGTCTTTAGGTAAACTTTGTTGCCAATGATGATGGCGAGGCAGAGGCTTCTCCGACGTCTCCCAAGAGAAAGCCAATTAACTTCAGCATCAACGTAAGTTCATTAAAGCTTATTCACATATAATGACTGTAAGAGTATATTGAAATATTAAAGTTGATCTTACCTTTTTATATTGACAGAATACCATCGCCAGACCATCAAACAGCCCAACAGTCCATGACAGTAAGGTAACATCAAGAGCCGACAGCGTAGCAGACAGGAAGCCATATGGACAGTGGGTCCCCATCAGCAGATCCTCTTCTAAAAAATAAACACTGAGCTTCAACTGTGATGTAAAAAGACTGTATATAGTGTAAATAGTTTGTGTAGTGATCACTTAGGGTAGAGTGGGGTGGGTGATTAGGGGACACCTGAATTCATCATATGTTTTCTTTCAGATATAAAGTGGGTTTTGTGGAAGAATCCAAGAGGATGTCAGACAGGTGGGAAATATTGTGTACATTGTGGTGTTTTTTTGTGTGTTGTGCAGATGAAAATTTATTAAATAAAAATGAAAAAAAAAAATCCTTGTGTACATTTGTTTTTTTCAGAAATTGTAAAATTTTAAATTCTTAAGGTGATAAATTAATATGTTCAATTTAGTTAAAACTTCAAAAACAACAGAACACTCCTGAAGTTTACGGTGATGGGGATGCATTTTTATCTGACATCAGCACTCCTCCATTTCACCAGAAGATAAACCATGAGATTAATATCACCTGCTGCAGAATTGCTTTTTGCACAAAGTTATTTGATAATTAGTTAAAATCTTTTACATTAAGCAATAATGCTCTTTGAGTTAATGGCACAAAACCTGCCAAGAACATCATGTCAGCGCCATATTTACACCCACACATACACAATTTATAAAGACATGGCGGATGTATATAAATTTGATTCTGGGATGAAATGTGACCTGTACACGTTTTTAGTGAGATTCAATTTAATGCTATTCAGCTATTTCTCAGAATTAAAGAAAAATATTTATTTGATAATTTAAATGTTTGCAATATGAGGAGGGGGTTTTGCTGGACCAGAATTTATGAGAACACCCTGATCTTCATGTTCAGGACTCTGGGTGGCGCTGTTGCACTGTGCACAGTAGTTGTTGAGTCTGACACATATCAAAAACATCACAAGCTTTCCAAGGAAAATATTTTACAGTAGTTATCACAAGCCAAGCCAGATTAACCTTCCATAATCGCTGTTGATATCAGAGAAACTAATCAGTAGCCAATAATGATAGCTACACATGCATAACAGAAGGACTTTTCTCACTCAAAATAGTTAACCCTGGGTCATTCTACACCCAGGAAAATGGAATCATGGGTTAGCTTGTTTTACGTTTCACACTGCTCATAATTTACCCTGGGTTGACCATTAATCCTGTGTATTTATAAACTGAACTGACGTTTTACACTTTACATTCCAAAACCCTGGGTTCTTCTGGGTTTCGTGGATTGGATGAACACAGCATGTGACAAGTGTACATAATGCTGCTGGGTACACACTTTTAAAACACGGATTTTTCAAATCTTATAAGATCTTCAAAATGTGAGAGACCACAAACACGAGGACAAAAAAAATGATAGATTTAACCGTTTTGCTCCTATAGTGTGTGGTGTGCCATGATGTTCCCCCCACACATCAGGATTTCTGACCGTAAATATTCAACATATTGGATATTTACGATTCGCGATCGGGGCGCCTCCGACGATCTTCCGAGCAGATTCAGTCACTCTTAACACACCTCACACCACAGGAAAATCTGAAAAGATAATCTTTAGAACAACCAAGATAATCGGGACATTACCTAGGATTGTCGGAAGGGGAGAAATCGGCCCAAAATCAGCCCGATTATCTTGTGGTGTGTACCCAGCATAACCGCTCTAGCATTGCGGTATTCTGTCGATTTGTGCCCTGTCAGATTTTGCAACCTCCCATTAAAACAGTAGGCAGCACAGTTTGACAACGAAAAATGCTACCCGTCAAATTATGTTTCATTAACGTCTACGCCAACCCTAAACCTACCTAGTAATGCAAACAGTAATTAGACTATGTGTTGGCCAGGGTTGTGGCTAGAAAGGATACAGCTACGGACATTGTAATATTTTCCTGAAATGTTCGACCATATCGGTGGACTTTAGCATAACCGCTCTAGCATTGCGGTATTCTGTCGATTTGTGCCCTGTCAGATTTTGCAACCTCCCATTAAAACAGTAGGTAGCACAGTTTGACAACGAAAAATGCTACCCGTCAAATTATGTTTCATTAACGTCTACGCCAACCCTAAACCTACCTAGTAATGCAAACAGTAATTAGACTATGTGTTGGCCAGGGTTGTGGCTAGAAAGGATACAGCTACGGCCATTGTAATATTTTCCTGAAATGTTCGACCATATCGGTGGACTTTAAAGGTAAGATTAAAACAGTCTCTTCTAGAATTCACGACAACATTTTACATTTCAAACGCTGAAACAACTGTTGAGCAATGATTGGTTGTAAGCCTGTAACTGTAATGTCAGTGTAGCGCTATATTAAATTTTTGACAGGAACGAAAAGGAGATTGCGAGGGACTGTGTTCGATGGATTGTACTGTTGTTTAACAGTATACCGACTGTTCTGCTGACAACGATTTTCTGAAGAAAAAAACATTAAGTAGACAAAAACTTTATAAAACAGTTTTGAAAGTCATGAGTTGTAAAAAAACAAACAAAAAAAACAATATAGCACCGTTTTATACCGTGCCACAGTACCATTGTAAAGACTAAATCAAGTCCTCAGCCTCATTTTCATCCGTGTTCAATTAAATATGGCATCTAAGCCTGATTAAGTTCTATTAGAAAGCATCATTTCACACTGCACTTTTGGCACTGCAATGCAGAGTCAACGCTGTAGAGATGGTGCTAATCCTGCATTTAAATTACAAGTGTGAAAACGCACCTTTACCCGGGGGTAAAGCAGGGGTAGAATGATGATAACCTGGAGTGAACAGTCCTCTAGAGTTGTACATCCCAACACAACAGCAATTTTTGACAAATTGAAAACAGTCACTGCTTGGTGACACTAGTAGCACAGAAAACAGTGGCCTGTTGTTTTTATTCTTAAACTGACAAATCAAGTCATTCAATCAAACTGTCATTCACTGGCACGAATGGAGCAGCATTTGATGTGCGCCGACATGTTGTCTTGAGACTGAGCAATAGTCCTTCTCAATATAGTTAATGAACTGGAATGTTTTCTCACTCATTACCACCCGCACGATTCCCTCAGGTGATTGGTGGTTTTAATTAATGAGTTTAGTCTGATAAATGATTGTGTAATAAGACTTCTGTACATGATCCACTAGTTGTATTCAGCATGAAGGCTGGTTTGGCACGGGCCCAAGTCAAAGCCTTTGTTTCTCCCCCGCCGCCTCTCTATGTGTGTTTTAAGCCTGTATTCTAAGAGCTTGTGCCAAAATATCTATGTCGTGCTGCTCTTTTCAACATGTTCGCTCTTGACTCCACCTGGCACCGTGATGATTTTTGTGCAATTGTCATAGCTTGGAAGAAAAATGGAGAATTGGAAATATCACACCTTTTATCTAGTGCCTAAAGAGATGCATCAACAATGTGTTGATGATAGAGGTTACACATTAGCCCACCTTCAAGTCTCTTCTGGTCTCTAGCTGTGACCAGTTTATATGAGCATGAATGTTTACTCTCCACCCTTAATGAAGAGAATCTAAAACATTTCATAAACTCACTGGCGGTGATTATGTGACATTTGTTTGTGCACGAATAAAGCGAAAGCAGTGTTGTGCAACTCACCGCAGAATCTGATGAAGCTTGTTTTGGAGCACAGGAAGAGACATTATCGTTCTGAAGGATCTGTGTCTTTTGTTTTGCTGCTTGTTGATAAGATCGGAATGAAGCATCTCTCAGACATTCACTATTACACGGCGTTCCACAGGTGTCTAGCCAATATATATGCAAATAACAGAAAACAGACAGCTTGGGAATAGTTGAGGGCCATGTGGGAACCATTTAGAGTAAACATAAAAGTGCATTTAACTTTTTAAATGCATTTCATTGTGGATAATTCATCAGTGCATGTTATTCTCAACTAAAAGATGTTTGTCTTCATTTATTTTTATCCAAATGTTACTTGCTGAAATTACTTTTCCTTACCTCTTAATTTCAGTCCCTTTCATCCAACCACCTGAATTCATTCTGATGTAATGGTCACTTTCCCCAATCCAATCAATGCCTGATCGATACAATCAAGTCCCAAGTTACTTCTTTTTCCTTCAAATGCCCTGTTTCGCTGGAAAACACATTGTAACACAGATGTAAAGTGGTTTGTGAACTCATTTTAGACTGAATACATTACAGTTATAAACTAAAATAGGCCTAATATTTAGAGATGCGCATAGTATATCTTTTTTTCTTCGGCCAATATTAGAAATTGTTTTGAATTCATTGTACTGGTTTATACTGGATATATAATTGAACGTGCACTATTTTAACATTTAGATTATCTTTGCCATCATCTAACACAGTTTGGGGTCGGTAAGATTTTTTCAATTATTATTATTTTTTTAGATAAGTCTCTTATGCTCACCAAGGGCTGCATTTATTTGTTCAATAATACAGTAATATTATGAAATATTATTACAATTTAAAATAACTATTTTCTCTTTTAATTTATTTTAAAATGTAATTTTCATCTCAAACAATAGGGTGTAATAAATCCATATATGGGCTAATAGTGAACTTACAAACACTTCAATAACACTCTTAAAATTATATTGTCATATCCATAATGTTTTTGTCTATTATGATTATTTTTATTTTTAATTTATTGTGACATACAATTTCAGTATCAGCCATTTATTGGTTATCAGCCATAACTTGAAATTAAGTGTCGCTGGATATCGGTATTGCTAGGTTGTCAACTATTTAGTTAGTGCTAACTTACTAAACATTTGAAGACATTATAGAAAGACCTTTAAGACATTTTATAGTGTGATGTATTTCTTCTATGTATTACAATCCCCAATATGATGTATTTCTGAGTGATAAGGTATGGAGGGTGAGAATTGATTGATTCAGGAATTGATTGGCTTGTGCAAAGCGTCTCTGTCAATGAGGTCTGTAGTACCTTATGATCAAACAGACTGATCAGTGTGTTGATAGCACCGAAGTGTTTGTGGAAATCACATCTACAATCTACAAATGGCTTATTTATAGCTGTCACTGTAAATTAAACTGTTATAGAAGAAAGTATTTTAACATCAAAACAATTACACACTTTAACATCAAACTTAATCAGATTTTCAAAGCAGAATTGGCATTTGCCAGATGATGTAATCTAGCATAAGGTTTATTCACCTCAGTACTGTCAGCTGTGCCGACGATCCTACAGCTGTTCCTGATCACAGATCAGATGTCCCGGCCTCAGGGATGGACACGGTCATTTTGGATATGGATCACTTGATAAGAGATGCACTAATATCAAAGGAGCGCATGCACGCACGCACACACGCACTTTCAGATCAAGGTCTGTATCACTTTTCTATTCACACATGTTCTGCTATTCCTCACTCCAGGCTGATGTGCACTTGCAGTTTGCCAAAGGGAAACACCACGGGCCTTGAGTCTGGAAAGCCCTGGCAAAGCCACAGAGGAATCCTGATGAACTCAGAGAAATACAGTTGGGGAAAAAAAAAAAAGTGTATAAAGATGCAGATAAAGAAAGCCATTGTTCACCACACACAAGACGCCTTTTCATTTGAGTTTGAGAAAATGGTACATGTAAGCCCTCGCAGGCGAACTGTATTTGATGTTTAATTCGCTTTCTGTGATGCCACGGATGCCAGGCGGTTATTTGCGCTCATCACATGAGTGTAATCTCGTGGCGCCTACGTCCGGATTCTCTCTCAAAACATCTATCACTATCACAGAAGTCTGCAAATGAAGCTCATTCAATATTCATTGATCTTCAGCACACAGACAGGTCTGAAAACTACTGAAATAATCGCATCTGTCTCATCTGCGTTTCGCTTAAAAGAATCCTTTGATGCTTTTATGAAACTGGAATGGCACTATAAAAGAAGTGCAACCAAGAAGGACTATACAGTATATAATACCTGGAGAATTACAGAGCGGGAATTTGTGAACCAATCACGTCAGCTGTAAAGATAATATGACTAATCAGTCCACAGTCTCAAACCAACAGAGCCCGCAATACTTTTGTTAGACATCGCAAGTTTTCTTGGGAGAATGCAATACTTTTTTGAGAAAGTGCAAAGTTTTTCAGGAGAATGCAATACTTTTGTGAGAAAATGCAAAGTTTCTCAGGAGAATGCAATACTTTCCAGTAGCCCCTCACTGCAGAACACAAGATCCAGGGGGCGTGGTTGGATCTACATCTAGGGGGCGGAGATGGGTGGGTTTAGGGATCAGGGGGTGGAGACGGGTATAGGAATACAGTTTCCCCGGAGATAGCAATAGTTTTGTGAGAGAATGCAAAGCTTTTCATGAGAAAGCAATACCTTCGTGAGAGAATGCAAAGTTTATCATGAGAATGCAATACTTTTGCAAAAGAATGCAAAGTCTCTCGGGAGATCGCAATACTTTTGAGAGAGAACGCAAAGCTTTTCAGGAGAAAGCAATACTATCGTGAGAGAATGCAAAGCTTTTTGAAAGAATGCAATACTTTTGCGAGAGAATGCAAAGTTTCACAGGAGAATGCAATGCAAGAGAACGCTAAGTTTATCGGGAGAATGCAATACTTTTGCAAGAGAATGCAAAGTTTATCGGTAGAATGCAATACTTTTGCAAGAGAACGCAAAGCTTTTCAGGAGAAAGCAATACTTTATCAAGAGAATGCAAAGTTTCCCAGGAGATTGCAATACTTTTGTGAGAAAATGCAAAGCTTTTTGGGAGAATGCAATACTTTTGCGAAAGAATGCAAAGTTTCACAGGAGAATGGAATAGCCTACTTTTGCAAGAGAACGGAAAGTTTATCAGGAGAATGCAATACTTTTGCAAGAGAATGCAAAGTTTCTCGGGAGATCTCAATACTTTTGCGAGGTAACGCAAAGCTTTTCAGGAGAAAGCAATACTTCCTCAAGAGAATGCAAAGTTTCCCAGGAGATTGCAATACTTTTGTGAGAGAATGCAAAGTTTCACAGGAGAATGGAATAGCCTATTTTTGCAAGAGAACGGAAAGTTTATCAGGAGAATGCAATACTTTTGCAAGAGAATGCAAAGTTTCCCAGGAGATCGCAATACTTTTGTGAGAGAATGCAAAGTTTCACAGGAGAATGGAATAGCCTATTTTTGCAAGAGAACGGAAAGTTTATCAGGAGAATGCAATACTTTTGCAAGAAAATGCAATTTTTTTCGGGAGAATGCAATACTTTTGCAAGAGAACGGAAAGTTTATCAGGAGAATGCAATACTTTTGCAAGAGAACGGAAAGTTTATCAGGAGAATGCAATACTTTTGCAAGAGAACGGAAAGTTTATCAGGAGAATGCAATACTAGAATGCAAAGTTTCACAGGAGAATGGAATAGCCTATTTTTGCAAGAGAACGGAAAGTTTATCAGGAGAATGCAATACTTTTGCAAGAGAATGCAAAGTTTCTCAGGAGATCGCAATACTTTTGCGAGGTAACGCAAAGCTTTTCAGGAGAAAGCAATACTTTCTCAAGAGAATGCAAAGTTTCCCAGGATATCCCAATACTTTTGTTTAGAAAATGCAAAGCTTTTTGGGAGATTGCAATACTTTGAGAGAATGCCTAGCTTTTTGGGAGAATGCAATACTTTTGCGAAAGAATGCAAAGTTTCACAGGCGAATGGAATAGCCTACTTTTGCAAGAGAAGGCAAAGTTTATCGGTAGAATGCAATACTTTTGCAAGAGAACGCAAAGCTTTTCAGGAGAAAGCAATACTTTCTCAAGAGAATGCAAAGTTTCCCAGGAGATTGCAATACTTTTGTGAGAAAATGCAAAGCTTTTTGGGAGATTGCAATACTTTTGTGAGAGAATGCAAAGCTTTTTGGGAGAATGCAATACTTTTGCGAAAGAATTCAAAGTTTCACAGGAGAATGCAATACTTTTGCGAAAGAATGCAAAGTTTCACAGGAGAATGCAATACTTTTGCGAAAGAATGCAAAGTTTCACAGGAGAATGGAATAGCCTACATTTGCAAGAGAACGGAAAGTTTATCAGGAGAATGCAATACTTTTGCAAGAGAATGCAAAGTTTCTCAGGAGATCGCAATACTTTTGCGAGGTAACGCAAAGCTTTTCAGGAGAAAGCAATACTTTCTCAAGAGAATGCAAAGTTTCCCAGGAGATCGCAATACTTTTGTGAGAATGCAAACCTTTTTGGGAGAATGCAATACTTTTGCAAGAGAATGCAAAGTTTCCCAGGATATCCCAATACTTTTGTGAGAGAACACAAACCTTTTCAGGAGAAAGCAATACTTTTGCGAAAGAATGCAAAGTTTCACAGGAGAATGGAATAGGCTATTTTTGCAAGAGAACGGAAAGTTTATCAGGAGAATGCAATACTTTTGCGAAAGAATGCAAAGTTTCACAGGAGAATGGAATAGGCTACTTTTGCAAGAGAAGGCAAAGTTTATCGGGAGAATGCAATACTTTTGCAAGAAGGCAAAGTTTATCGGGAGAATGCAATACTTTTGAAAGAGAATGCAGAGTTTCCCGGGAGATCGCAATACTTTTGTGAGGGAATGCAAAGCTTTTTGGGAGAATACAATACTTTTGTGAAAGAATGCAAAGTTTCACAGGAGAATGCAATACTTTTGCGAAAGAATGAAAAGTTTCACAGGAGAATGGAATAGCCTACTTTTGCAAGAGAAGGCAAAGTTTATCGGTAGAATGCAATACTTTTGCAAGAGAACACAAAGTTTCTCGGGAGAACGCAACACTTTTGTGAAAGAACGCAAAGTTTTGCAGGAGAATGCAATACCTTTTGCAAGAGATCACAAAGTTTTTTGGGAGAATGCAATACTTTTGCGAGAGAATGCAAAGTTTCTCAGAAGATCACAATACTTTTGAAAGAGAATGCAAAGTTTTGCAGGACCAGCAAAACATCAGAATAGTCGAAAACCTGTGAAATATCGGGTGGTGTGTATTTCCGAATGTCCAGCAATTCGTCTCTGGTGAAACTGATTGCAGGGATATAACTAAAGACAGGACAAACTAACAAAAACATAAAAACAACTGCGGAGCACGCCACGGAGGCAGCCATCAGCGTCGGCGCCATCTTGTAGAATCATAATACTTTTGCAAATTTTTTCGGAAGAAAGCAATACTTTTGCAAGAGAACGAAAACTTTTCTGAGAGAACGCAATATTTCTTAGGTATAACGCAATACTTTTGCACAAGAACACAAAGTTTTTCAGGAAAATGCAATACTTTTGTGAGAGAATGCAACATTTCTTAGGAGTCCACAATACTTTGGGGGGAATGCAATACTTTTGCGAGAGAACACAAAGTTTCTCAGGAGAACGCAATACTTTTGCTAGAGGATGCAAAGTTTCCCAGAAGAATGCAATACTTTTGCTAGAGAATGCAATGTTTCTTGGCGAGAGTGCAGTACTTTTGCAAGAGAACGCAAAGTTTCTCTGGAAAACAATACTTTCATTCTCAGAGTATGCAGCGTTTCTTAGAAGAACAATACTTCTGGAAGCACGGAATACTTTCGCAAGAGAAAGCAAAGTTTCTAATGAGAACACAATACTTCTTGGGAGAACATAATATTTTTGGAGAGAACTCAAATGTTTCGCAAGCGAGTGCAAAGTCTCTCGAGAGAATGCAATACTTTTGCAAGAGAACGAAAATCTTTTCAACACGGATTTATAAATGAATTATAAATGTATATTGAGCAGCAAATCAGAATATTAGAATGATTTCTGAAAGATAATCAGGATTACATTTTAAAAACAGTAAGCAAAATTAAAACAGTTCTTTTAATTGTAATCATATTTCACAATATTACTGTTTTTGATCAAAACAAATGCAGCCTTGGTGAGCAGAAGACATGAAAAATCTTACTGATGCCATACATTAAAAAAGTAGTACATCTTCATACATATTGCATATCACAGATATTGTATAAGCAGTATGCTAAATATACATGTGTTTCTTGAACCAGGAAGTTATAATTGGCTTCATATCCAAGATAAGCAAAAACAGAGAGACAGCAAAGCCGGTTAAGCAACACAATTCTCCAGGAATCCTCATCTGCTAATAAACAGATCAAGACGTCCTTCCAGTGATTTAAATGGCCAATGGGATCATAAGCAGGCACCAGTCAGACATGACAGATGTTTGTCACTCTGAGGTAGTAAAAACACCTCCAGCAGTGTTTCATTCACGACTATGGTTCTAGTGGATTTTGGCATGTGGATTAGAGGAGAAACTGTTGAATGGCATTCTTCAGCTCCCAATGGAAGCCTTATTTCTCCATATTTAAAAAAAGGGCTCTATATGAAGTCAAAGTTTCCCAATGAGCAGCTCAGATATCAAAGGGTTTGATTTGTGTGGCCCCCTCAGTCTAATCACCCGCAGCCAATACTGCCACTGAGAACAAAAGCAGGAAATCATAAACACGGCATGGCTCTAATTCTCAACACACCGAGCTTTGAAAGCAGCTGCCCAAAGCCAATTACCCCTGCTCCCCCCACCAGGATAATTCATAACATATTCATTTATGCAGATGCCAGAGATCTCTGATACACGTTCAGTCCTATACAGGCCTCTATAGAAGCTTGTTTCTGGAATGGGATAAACAAAATGTAAAAAGGTAACTGCGACTTTTTATCTCACAATTCCGAAATGTTCCAAAAATTCAGAAATGTGAGAGATATACTCAGAATTACAATACACGAATGCAGAACTGCGAGTGATAAACTAAAATATATTAAGAATTGAATAATAAGAATTGTGAGAAAAAGTTGCAGGTGCCCTTTTCATTTTGTATTTTGTGGTGGCAACAAGAGACAGAATTGCGAGATGTAAACAGAATTCAGAGAAAAAAGGCAGAATTCCAAAAAACAATTGCAACTTTTTATCTAGCAATTTTCTATTTATATCTCAGAACTGGGATAAACTCAGAATTGCGAGACAGTCTGAATTGTGGGATAAAAACTCAGAATTATCTTTATTAAAATTTTACTTTTATTATTTTTGATTGCATGGCGGAAATGGGCTTCTGTAGTCCTCAAAAGATGATATTAGCTTGTAGATTTAAACAGGGTCTCATTTATGAGGTCTTGATGAATGAATCAATCTGCACATCTGATGAACCATTTTGTTTAAATTATTTACATTTATGCATTTGGCAGACGCAGATGCAAAAGATAAAACGATCACGTTGAGTTCTCACACTCACTGATGCAGTCGCTTAATCACGCATCATCTTCTCAATATATGCTATAATAAAGGCGGTAAATGTGGCTATTACACCTCAGGTGTTCAATTATATTCCAGTAATGCTAACTAAAACTGTCTGGAGTTCATTACTTTCAATTCATACATAGCTGACACATGAATGTGCTCATTTTTAACAACTTTTCACCTCTAAAATGCACAGTAGAATTAGCCACCATAACTACTTCAGAAAGAGCATGGTACAGTGTTTTTTGTTTTTGGTATTACTTGTAAACTATTATAAGTATTTAATAATATTTTCCATTCGCGTTTCTATTTTGTTTTCAATTTAAATTTCGGTAATAATTTTTAGTAATAAAGTGTTTTTATGTGCTTTAGTTTTGTTTTATTAGTGTTTTATTATTTATTTAGTTTTATTATCTATATTGCTTACATTTTTGTTTCACTTTTTGTTGTAGTAATTTTAGTATCTTAATCATTTCTATTTTCACGTCTTTCATCTACTTCAAAATTTTAGTTAATTTAATGTTACTAGTCATTTCTTTATTATTTGTGAAATTTATTTCTCAGTACTACACCATTTTTTTTACAGTGTATTATTTATATTAGCTTTATTTTCATTATTAAAAACAGTTTTTAATAGTTTTGGTTAACATTCTCTGAACTCTAATGCCTTCAAGTTTACTACTTCATAACCTTGCAGTATATAAACTAAACTATTGTCTACTATTACTACTAACTAAATACCATACAGTATATACTGTAAACTGCCAAGTACTGTGATTAAAACTGTAACCAAGTAAGTTAACTTGTGAGGCAATGTTTCATCACAAACAGTATGTTTTCACATGACCATTACTTTGCATGAGAGTGCTGTCCAGATACCATCTTGGAAATAAATGGGGTCGGTATCCATAGTAACAGTCTCCATAGTTACACAGCTGTTCCTCTCTCCAGGTTCTGTTTGATCTCTGCGGTGTATTTGCCGTAGAAACGTTCAGCCTTCTTGTTGAATTTAGCATTTCTCTCGTTGATATAATCGATGTCAGCGTCATCGTTGTAGGCCCTGCGGCGACTGTATTTAGAGCGCTTTTCAATCCTAAACACACAAGGAGACATTTCTGGAGATTACACATGCAAGAAAGAATGTTTAATGCAAGAAATAAAACAGTAAAACCTAGTTAAAAATCATCCTGGAAACGGTTTTTCACTAATGGCGCTTTTCCACTGCATGGTACGGCACGGTACGGCTCGGTACGGTTCCCTTTTGGGGGGTTTTCCACTGGGTACAGGACCTGGTACCTAGTACTTTTTTTAGTACCACCTCGGTTGGGGTTCCAAGCGAACCGTACCGTTACCAAAACGTGACGTGTAAACTCTGCTGATCACGGATTGGCCGGAGAGAATCGTCACTACCTGCGTCACTGAACTTGCGACACAAACACAAAAGAACCGCTAGATTTAAATCAGCACAGCCAGCGAAGGATCGAACACAACTGTTTTGAACGAGAGCACCTTTTTTTTTTTTTACAACCAAAAAGTTTTGTTGTCTGTTGCGGAAGTACAGACGTTCCTCTTGTTGATAGCAGAGGAGCGGATCCAGCGAGAGCTTGATGGGGCGACGCGGAATGAAAATTTAGGAGTCGGGGTAGTAGAGGCAACTATAACGACATGTGAATAACCCCGTCCACTCTAAAGCGGTACTGAACTGCAGTGGAAACGTAAACCGTGCCGAGCCGAGTCATACCACGCAGTGGAAAAGCGCCATAAATGAACACAAGAAAAAAAAAAAAAAGATTTTATCAACCGAAATAAAGTAGATTAAGGCTATATTTATTATTTATATAATTTAATTTTATTTAAATAAAAAACAAAGCTAATAAAATGACAAACTAAATTTTTTTTTACTGAAACTAAATTTAAAATATTAAAGTTATTTCTAATAATTTATAAATATGATAAATTATACTAAAATGACACTGACTTTAGGAAACTTAATGGCCAAAAGCAGCACATTAAAATCCTCACATCAGCTATATCACCCAGCTGTACTCCTCAGCCATTCATTTCCCAGTTTGATGCTTCAACAGACAATGTCAGTTTTCAAAGTCCATCAAAGAGACTCACATGCCCCCCACATACACACAGACGGTTCTTCAAAAATCTTCAAAGCGTGTTTGTGCGTCACAATCTGGCAGCCGTAGCCCTGTCTAATGTCTCTCAGAAGCTAAAAGCAGCTCCTCCAAAATAGAAGAATGCCGTCTTGCGCATAAACAAACCCTCGCCGGCGCACACATCCATGTGCGACAGGCACGCAACGGCACAAACACATCTGGAGCGAGGAACAAACACAGGAGGCCATGCTCTCAGAGCGCTCTGAAATTGGCTGCAACATCATATTCAAAAGAGCCGCGATCTGCACGAACACTGATGGAGGAACGCTGAGGTGTGCGATTAGATCTGCTCACCAGGTGATTCTGCAGTGTGTAAGATCTGAAATCTAACAGATTCCCTGCAGCGTGCCATGAACACAAACACAGATTCTTACTGTTTCTCCACGTTGTCCACCATGCGGTCGATGCTCTCCTTAGACGGGACGTGAGTGCCGTGAATCAGACTGTTGGAGGTGGGGTGGAAATCTTCTCCACTAGGAGCAAAAGAGACACGTGCAAATCACCAGGGTTTCATTTCTTTATCATTACACAAGCAGAACAGCAATACAATTGGACTTTTGCGCTTCATTTAGGCTTTATTTCATATCATAATCATAAAAACACTGATTTGTGAAGCAAATCGTTTTTCCTGTTACAGCACTTTGTTATTTTTCTAGTTATTTACAACAGCAATTTCACACAATCACAGAAAATATCTTAAAAGCTTGTTGTTAATATTTGTTACTATTGTTGTTTCCATTTCAAACGAATGCTGTTTTTTTTTTACTTTCTATTTATCAAAGAATCCTAAAAAAGTATCAAGGTCTTTCCACAAATATTTTCAAAATTGATAATAATAAGAAATGTTTCGGAATGAATTTGAGGCTGCAAACAGGATGCGTGTGAATTTTGAAGGAACTTCAACTGTCATTTTAAACCTTTAAAGCATGAAGCTTTTAAAACAATGTGTATAGTGAAACAATGTTGGCTTGACAAAAACTTGTTCAAGAGTTTTGAAAAACATTTGTTTTGTTTTTTTGGGAGAGTGAGGTTTTGAGACATTAGTCTTTGCAACTTCAGGGAACTTATCTATGCACAATCAGCTTGTAACACTCCAAAGAGAAAGGAAAACTTGAAATCGTATCATATGACCCCTTTAATAAATTTAAAACATTAATACTTTTATTCATCAAGGATGCATTAATTTGATCAAAAGTCACAAAAGAATTTCAATAAAATGCTGTTCTTTTGAACGCTCTATTCATTAAATAATCCTGAAAAAAAATGGAATATTAAGCAGCACAACTGTTTTCAACATTGATAATGATAAGAAATGTTTCTTGAGCAGCAAATCAGCATATCTGAAGGATTTCTGAAGGATCATGTGACACTGAAGACTGCAGTAATGATGTTGAAAATTCAGCTTTGCTTCACAGGAATAAATGATAGATTAAGTTATTTTAAAATTACAATAATATTTCACAATATGACTGTATTTTTGATTAAAGAAATGTAGCCTTGGTAAACAAGAGATTATTTTTTTTAATTTTAAAGATCCCAAACTTTGTAACAGAAAACATGTGCAGAAAATAGGAAATGAAATGAACGCTTATTTTACACAATACTTGTTCAAACATCATTGTCTCAAATTCAAAAATTACCACTGGGGACCAAAATTGGTCTCTATTTTCATTTTCCCTTTGTATATCTATCTTCACTAGGAACGTTATAATCGCCATTTATACTATGAGACAGAAAATCTTCATATGACAGAATAAAAAGTCATTGCTCAGGCAGGAACTACTGTTAGTGGCTGTTTCCATTACCAGTCCATAGTCTTGTATTAAAAACAGCCAGCTCCACTAGCGTGTCTGAAGTAGAATGAGTATAAATAAAGTCTCACCACTCCTCTCTCTGTCTCTCATAGTTCTCCATATCTGGCTTGATCTGCTTCGTCAGTCTCTGGTACTGTCTCAGCTGGGCCTCAGCGTAGCCTACACACACACACACACACACACACACACACACACACACACACACACACACACACACACACACACAGATGAATACAAACACACATCCAGCTGTGGGGGTCTGAGAGGGGAAAGGGGCTCTTACAGGGAGAAGCAGAAGGAAAATGATAATAATTACCAGAACCAATGATAACCAGGCGTGAAACACAAGCTCTGCATGTTTTCATTTTCACATGTTTAGCATCACACATGGCAACCACATTCCCGCTCATTCTCAGCCAATCAGTGAGGCTCCTCATTATCCTGACGAGCATTTCATACCTGAGAAACCTGGATCTGGGTTTTTCTTCTTTTTCTTTCTCTCCCATCTCTCTGCATCTTCAGCGCTGATCTCCAGGAGCTTTACACGGTCGTAGTCCTCACCTTGCTCCGCACACTCCTGACAAACAAACAATTCCCAGCTTTACATACTCCTCCTCACACGCCACATAATCAGAATGAGTGCTTAATTGATACGGGGCTTTTAATGGCCGATACTGGCACATAGAGAGCAGAGAGGCCAAATGACAGCAGATACACTACAGTTTAAAGGGTTGGGCTCAGTAAGATTTTTTAATTAAAATTAATACTTTTATTCAGCAAAGATGCACTAAATTGATCAAAAGCGACAGACATTTATAATTTTGGAAATAATAGCTATTTCACATAAATGCTGTTCTTTTGAGGTTTCTATTTATCAAAGAATCCTGAAAAAAAAGGTTTCCAAAAATACAAGCAGCACAACTATTTTAACAACAAACAATGCTGAAAACTCAGCTTTGCATCACAGGAATAAATTACATTGTAAAATATATTCAAATTATTATATTCAAGTTATTCTAGCTGACTTCTTCTGACACCAAACATTTGAACAGTTGTGTATGTGCTGAAAAGAAAAAACAAATGTAAACATATTAACACTCATTTTACACAATTTATTCAAAATTCACTTATTCAGATTCAAAATTCAAAACTGGTTTGCAACTAAGAATTTGCATCTTCAAATTGATATTTGAAATGATCAGACACAATGAAAATACATCTACTTTTGGATCTTTGGGAACTGAATTTAGATTATTTAAATAGTTAAAAATAACTATAATATCAGAAAATGCTTACAGAGAGAGATAGAGCATATAATTTATCAACTTTCTCATCTTAAAACATCAGAAAACATGTAAATCTAATACAAAACATGACTTTTAAAGTGCGTCATAGCTTTGGCTTAACCAGCTTTGTGAGTTTGGTTACTATGTGTGACCATTCACAAACAGCATGTAGTGTTCGTGTTATTATTTTTGCAACTCTGTTTGGTGGAGTAGAAACGACAGGCTTAAAACCTGATACTGTACCTTCTTCTTTTGGTCCACCATGAGTTCATACTCCAGACGGGCTTTCTTGGCCTCCCAGTTTGACGGCAGCTTCAGCCTCTTGTCCTCCTCCACCACCTCCTGATGATTCAGCTTACGAGCCTCATTCTATCAACAGAACGCAATCACATTTCATACACATGTTAATAGAGCAGATTCTGTTGTGCTGTGTGTCAATGGCTTGCAATGTCAGCACAGAGTTTGCTTCAAGTCTACACCAACTACACTAAAGCTCCTTTAACATGACGTACGTCAAGAATTCAACACATGGCTCAACACAAGTGTCATGCCTTCCTTTTAAGGCAAGATACCACAGGGGAATACGGTAAAGCAACATAGCCCAAAATCTCAAATTTGAGCAGTGTATGAATAAAAAATAAAAAAAATGTCTGCAAATGTCGTTGAGGGACCCCCTTGAAAATTAGATGGATCATCTCAAGGGGCAATCCCTTTAATAAATAAATAAAAAAAACAATGGTTTGCTTGTACGGTCTTGTCTTAAAATCCAAACACAAGTGGCCACGGGAGATGAATGTTGCTACCAGGTGGAAAAGCTGATCTCATCATACCATTTATGATTTATCCTCTTTTTTCCCCCAGATATGTCCTGGCCAGGTTTTCTAAATCGCCTGAAATGTCTGGGTTTTGGCTTTGTTTTCCTATTGTTTTCATTCTTGCCGAAGGTAATGACTTAAGAGTAATCTGACCAATAGCATGCTTCATTGTACATAACCAAGCAATCGTGGTGATTGTGAGAAAGTGCGATCTACAGAGTACAGTGAAAGCAATGTAAACACAAATGCATATAATGTATGAGGACTGTAAAGAGCATGTCCATATAAAAACAAAGCCAAAACCAGGACATCTGGACAAATAACATCGCTTAGGATAGATGTTAATACCAGGGCATTAATAAACTGGGTATTAGTTTCAATAAATGTGACCCTGGAGCACAAAACCAGTCATAAGGGTCAATTATCATTGACATCATTAGCTTTCCATTAATGTATGGTTTGTTAGGACAGGATAATATTTGGCCGAGATACAACTATTTGAAAATCTGGAATCTGAGGGTGCCAAAAAATCTAAATATTGAGAAAATCGTCTTTAAAGTTGTCCAAATGAAGTTCTTAGCAATGCATATTACTAATCCAAAATTAAGTTTTAATATATTTACAGTAGGAAATGTACAAAATATCTTCATGGAACATGATCTTTACTTAATACCCTAATGATTTTTGGCATGAAAGAAAAATCAATAATTTTGACCCATACAATGTATTTTTGGCTATTGCTGCAAATATACCCCAGCGACTTAAGACTGCTTTTGTGCTCCAGGCTCACAAATAGTCTGGGCTCATGGATTCCGCTGATGCGAGGTAAACTTGGCCGTAGTTACCCTCTTGAAATGAAGCTCTCTGAACTTTCGGAGTTTCTCTTCTCTCTTCTGTGCTGCTGGAGTCTCTGTGGTTTCCTCTTCATTGCTGGGAGCAACAACCTGCACAGTGAATGTACCGCATACAAGGCTTAATAATGTCATTCAGTGATAGCTAGAACATAATTAGTGCACTGAAATCTTTAGCAAACCAAATCAACAACATTACTCACACAGAGACTAATGTTAGCATCTTTAGCTATGACTATAAGAACAGAGTTCTGAAAACCGACACGCTGAAACCATAATTTCACGAGTACGTTAAAGATCGCTTATCAAAAATAATATATAAATAATAAAGACATATGTTAGGTTAACTCTTAAAGAACTTTGAACGGGTGTTTTTGTTTACCTCTGCGCTAGACGCCATTGCTTCTTTCAAAGAGGAAGTACGTCACGCATTTCAGTTCGACTGAGATCTAGTTCCGCTTTCTTAAGAGTTGCTTGGACATATTAATAAGACAGCATATAATAATAACTAGCAATAATAAAAATGTGATTAAAAACGGTTTTTAATTATTGTTCCGTTGATGAGTTCTAGTTTGCTTTCATCTGCTTATCAATATTTCTGTTTAATTATATTATTAACTCTTTGTTTTTCAATTTATTATTAAATTATATATATATACACACACAATTTGTTATTGTTAAAATGTTTGTATAGTATCATTTCTGTTTTTAATAATAATAATGATGATGATGATGATGATAAATAAAAAAGTAAAGAAAAAATTAAAAAGTTTTTAAAAGAAGAAGACAGAAATAAAAAAGGTACACAGTTTTGAATAACTCTCTTATATGTTTTTTATTTATATATTGATATATAAATTCTTGCTGACATGGTGAATGAAGTTGCAGTGGTTCAAACACAATGGCTCCGCTGCTCCTCTGGTCTAAATGTGTATAATTAAGTTCTCTTTAAGAGGATGTAATTAACCAGAGTTTACAGTTTCAGATTAAAGCAGCCTCTAGATCAGAAGCCACACTAATGAACTGATGTGCTTGTTCTGCAATCCAGATGGAGCAAGAACCAAACCACCCTCAAACACACAAGACCTAACAGCTAGAGAGCGCTTTTTATGATATTTTATATTTGCCATAACAATTTCATTTAGTCAAAACTTATATAGTAAATATTTTCTGGAAATCTATATGAATATTAAAAATAGATCAAATGTGATGAGAATTAAGAACTAATGTTATATCTATAATATATACCATATACAAATATATAACAATAAGAATAAATAAAAATGAAATAATAAAACAAAAATATACAATCACACACACACACACACACACACATATATATATTTATATATATACAGCGCAATAATGCCTGCTGTTTTACTTACTGTACGAAGAGTGGTTATAAAAAATAATAAAAAATTATCACTATATATATATATATATACATACTGTATATGTGTGTGAATATATATAGTGATAATTTTTTATTATATTATAGTAGATACGTAACCACGCTTAATTGTGTTTTTATTTCATTATATTTGTATGTATTAATCAATAAATAATTTGGCAGCCAATGGAGAAAGATTCTCTTTGCAATCATGTGGTGTAGTTCCAGCATTTACCAGCAGAGGCTAACTGAGCCTTGCTAACTAGCTAACAAGCTAACCTTCAGATTCATTAGGCACATGACATGTACAGCTCAGGTGTCCGAGTCCAAAAACAGCATCAGATAGCTTTCTCCAGGTATTCTACATGTCCTTGATTTGACAGTGACAGTGACGTGACATGTGGCCAAATATGGTGACCCATACTTGGAATTAGTGCTCTGCATTTAACCCATCCAAAGTGCACACACACAGCAGTGAACACACACCTGGAGCAGTGGGCAGCCTTTTTTTTTGTTGCTGCGGCGCCCGAGGAGCAGTTGGGGGTTCGGTGCCTTGCTCAAGGGCACCTCAGTCGTGGTATTGAAGGTGGAAGAGAGCGCTGTACATTCCCTCCCCCCCCCTACAATTCCTGCCGGTACGAGACTCGATCCCACAGCCTTTGGGCTATGAGTCCGACTCTCTAACCATTAGGCCACAACTTCCCTTGGTCAGGCTGCCAGATGACATATTTGCCCAAAAGTGAAATAAAATAAGGCCAAATAAATGGATGGCACTCACACGAGGTCATGCTTGAAACATGCACAATGCAATAATGCCTGCTGTTTCACTTACTGTATTCAAAAAGATTGTGTGTGTGTGGCCTGCTGTGTATATTGACAGTATTGAGAGAACAGCAAGCTCCTGGCAGAACAGGTTTTCTTAATAGTAAGAGGTCATTCAGCTGGATTCCATTAGCAAACTACATAAACTATTGTGTTGTTTGATTAATGGATGCATCCTCTATTTTGAATCACGGCTCAGACCAGCCCTGGTGTGTTCAGCTGCCTGACATCTGGGTTGTAACTGCTATAGAAAACACAGCCAATAAAATCATGCCATTTCCCTAATTACTATTTCTTTCATTTCCACTGCCAATGAGCAAGAACTTGGACAGGCCAAACCAAACAAAGCTCTGACTGCAGCATGCCAGCTCAGTTACCCACCGAAGGAGGGTCCAAACTCCAAACATGGACACACTGAGTATTGTTAGGTGGGCTGATTATAAAGTGTCAAACCCACTTTTGATGGACCCGTTTGTGCATGATTATGAAAGTAATGCCTGAAACAGCTACTGCAATAGAAATCAACAGTGGCAGAATATATAAATGGGAAAATAGACAGTACAGTACACTTCTTTCACGAGGGCCGAGTTGTGTGCTAAACTGCTCTCTCAGGAAAAAAGGTACAAAAGCTGTCACTGGGATGGTATGCTTTCAAAAGGTACACCTTATTTACCCCTAAATGGTACATATTAGTATATAAAGGGTTCATATTAGTACCTTTTGAAAAGGTAGCACCCCAGTGACAACTTTTTTTCTGTGAATTTAATGACTTATTTCTTACTTTAAACTAAAAACTTAAATTCATTAATTTGACCTGAATTTGAATGAAGGTAGAAAACAGGATGCAGAATTCCAGTTCACATTTGAATGTCAAAGGAAATTTTCATTTGAATCATTTAAAGCATGAAGTTTAAGAAAATGTTGAATTTTGGTTTCGTAAAATCGTGTTCAAGATTTTTGAATTTTTTTTATTTATTTTTGAAATGTGAAGGTTCTTAGGCCTTGCAGATAGATGGATATATATTTTTACATTTTGTGTTTATTTTATATACACTATTGTTCAATAGTTTGGGGTCAGTAATTTGATTTATTATAAATTGTGTTCTTGTAAACTTTCTATTCATTATTCATTAAAATCAGTTTCCACAGAAATATTAAGCAGCACAGCTGTTTTCAACATTGATAATAAAACATGTTTCTCTGAACAAAACAGCATATTTAGAATGATTTGATTTCTGAAGGATCATTTGACACTGAAGACTGGAGTAATGATGCTAAAAATTCAGCTTGGCATCACGGGAATACATCACGTTTTAAAAAATATTAAAATACAAGAGTTCTTTTCAATTTTAAAAATATTTCACAGTATTACTGTATTTTTGGAGCCTTGGTGAGCGTAAGAGACTTTATCCCAAAAACAAAAAAAAATCTTACCGACCCCAAACTTTTGGATGGTAGTACATTTTACTGCTTTGCATACAAAATCAGCATCTCCATGTGGAAGTTTCCATGTAGAAAGCTGAAAAGTCTTCATATCAAGACACAACAGGATCCCGTGTTCAATCCGAATCACACGCACATCTCATGTCAGCAGTCCGGTAACTCAAGGCCATGTTGAGCGCCAATAATCATACGCAACTCATCTGATCAGACATAATTCTCAGGACTGATTTTATGCTTTGGAAGTAAGCTATCATCACTTGTATCCCAGGGGCTCTCATGAGCACAACAGGATGATAAATATTCTCATAATTATGTCTATAAAATTAGTAACTCCAAAACGCTTTTGTTTTTTAACACTAGGCGTGTCAATGTGCAGTGCCACCAACCTTGTCACATGGGATATTTCCGCTGTCAAGGTTAATATGAAAGACCAGTTTGTCTGTGTATTTCTAAAAGAAGGCCATAGAGAGATGTTTGCTCATTGATAGAATCAGTATTCAGGCTCTCATCCTCATTAAATCCCCAATTAAATACTATTACAGCACACATAAAGAGATCTAGAGCATTGTGGGTAACAACGACTTTCTGTCTCCTAGAGGAACATTGACAGATCTTCTGACTTTATTGATGCGCTTAGATATTTAGAGAGCCAGATAGACAAAGTGAGACATGAAAAGGGAGACAAATGTACATATAAGCTATCAGCATCTACTGCCTATAGGGCTGCTTTTCCCAAAAGCATCATAAGCCAAAGTTGATCACAGAACCATTGTCACTAATGGAGCTACGATCACAATGCTTTTGGGCAACACAGCCTAGTACGGTACTTTCTTATAACTTTCTTAAAACCTTATAAGTGATTGTTTAGGTGTCAATTTACGTTATGCTTTCTCTTTCTATAGGCAGCGATTCTGTGAGCCTAAATAAGTGTGTTAAGCTTATTAAGGCCCCAGTAAGCCTACAAACACATAAAAACAGAAATATTGGGAAGATAGCATGTTTACTTAGATAAGTTTTATGCTATTATTATTAATACATTTCATACAAATCATACAAAAATAAATTTTGTACAAATAATACAAATTATAAATTTAAAAAATTTAAAAAGTTACATTAAAATCTTAGTATATGTTTATACTATAGTATAAATTATATAATAATTCTAATACATTTGAAAAAATACAATGTAAAATTATAATTATATAAAACAAATAAATGATGTTTATGCACATATGTATGCAGTTATGTACAAATCATACAAAATTAATTTCATGAATGCAGATCACAAATTTGAAAAATACAATGTAAATTACATTATAAATGTCATATAAATTATATAATAAGATAAATAAATTATGTATGTTTATTATGTATTTGTTGTGTACAAATCATATGAACATTAATTTCAAACAAATCTTGCAAATCATAAATGTAAAAAATACAATGTAAAAGTATTTTCAAATATAAATTATGTAACCATATAAATACATAATATACATTAATTATGTACAATATGAATAATAAATATTAATATTAAAAATGAATATAAACTGTATTTATTTATTTATAGTTTACAACACTTTAACTTTTGCAGCTTGAACTTTGGTTTTGAGGCATGTGATCAGTCTGTGATGCTTAGACCCTGATTTTGCTCATAATTGTGAGAAAAAAAAAATTTCTTAAAGGGGTCATATGATGCGATTTCAAGTTTTCCTTTCTCTTTGGAGTGTTACAAGCTGATTGTGCATAGATAAGATCCCTGAAGTTGCAAAGACTAAAGTCTCAAAACCATAG